GAGACGGGGTTTCACCATGTTGACCAGGATGGTCTCGATCTCTTGACCTCGTGATCCACCCGCCTCGGCCTCCCACAGTGCTGGGATTACAGGCTTGAGCCACCGCGCCCGGCCTAGTTGTTGCTATTTTTCTTTTCAAATGTGACCACCAGAAAAGTTTAAATGGCTTGTGTGACTCATCATTGAACAGAGCTGTTCTAAACACAGGTAGGAACGCAGAGCTTCAGGTGCAGGACAGAGAATGAAATAATAGACCCACAAGACAGATAAGCGACGGATTATGACTGTTATGAGAGCTGATGTGGGCAAGAGTGAGTGCCATGTGGGGCCAGGCGTTGGGTTCTTTTCCCAGGAGTTGAAAAAGGTGGCGTTCCCTTTATTGGCATCGCTTGTGACACGGGGGACCATCCCTCTGTCTGAAGAGGTCGGTCAGGAACATTTCTTAATTTATATTTTAGGTTTGAGCGTCCATGTGCAGGTTTGTTTTATAGGTAAACTCGTGTCACAGGGGATTGGTGTACACATCATTTCATCTCTCAGGAATAAGCCTAGTACCTGATGGGTATTTTTCTGATCCTCTCCCTCCCCTCATCCTCCACCCTCAGGTAGGCCCCAGTGCCCTCTGTTCCCCTCCTAATACCCCTGCGTTCTTACTGTGTAACTCCCATGTATAAGTGAGAACACGTGGCTTTCAGTTTTCTGTTTCTGCCTTAGTTTGCTTAGGATAATGGTCTCTAGCTCTATCCATGGTGCTGCAAAGGACATGCTCTCGTTCCTTTGTATGGCTTCATAGCATTCCACGATGTATATATACCACATTTGCTTTATCCTAGTCTACTGTGGATGGGCATTTATGTTCATTCCATGTCTTTGCTATTGTGAATAGTGCTGTGGTGAACATACACAAGCATGTGTCTTTATGGTAGAATGATTTATATTCTTCTGGGTATATACCCAGTAATGGCATTGCTGGGTTGAATGGTAGTTCTGTTTTAAGTTCTTTGTGGAGGCCGGGCGTGGTGGCTCACACCTATGATCCCAGCACTTTGGGAGGCCGAGGTGGGTGAGTTATGAGGTCAGGAGTTCAAGACCAGCCTGAACAATATGGTGAAACCCTGCCTCTACTAAAAATACAAAAAATAGCCTGGCAAGGTGGTGCGTGGCTGTAGTCCCAGCCACTCGGGAGGCTGAGGCAGGAGAATAGCTTGAACCCAGGAGGCAGGGGTCACAGTGAACCAAGATCACACCACTGCACTCCAGGCTGGGCAACAGAGTGAGACTCCATCCCCTCCCAAAAAAAAGTTATTTGCGGAATCACTAAGCTGTTTCTGCAATGGCCGAACTAATTTCCACTCCCAATATTACATTGTCTATAGCTGAGAAAGCTGAAATGTAGAGATTACGCCACTTGCCCTCAGACATGTAGACAGGAAGTGGCACAGCCAGGACTCAAACCTGCCTCCAAAGCCCATCCTCTTAAACCTAAGTCATGATTTTCAAAGTGTGGTCCTCGGACCAGCAGCAAAAGCACCACCTGGATGCTTGTTAGTCTTGGAAATTCCGGGCCTCACCCTGGGCCTCAGCATGGGGAGCCCTGGGGTGGAGCCTGGCGGTTTGTGTTTGGGTAACCGCAGCTGACTCTGACTCCTCCATCAGGGTGGAGGCCATCGTGCGTGATGGTCCCACCCTGTGGCAGCCGGCCTCCCTCCTTCATTTCTGTTATTCCATCTCCTTACAACAACCCTATAAGGCCAGCAGGGTAGAGGTTGATTTTATTTAACAGATGAAGAAACTGAGCCTTGAGGTTTTATGACTTACCCAAAGTCATCACATTAGTTTTGGAACTGAAACTTCACCGGCAGATCTTTTTCTAGTCTGAGGCTGTAACTAGTACCAACAAGGACTCTGGGAGCAGTAAGGTCAGAGCAGGAGCTAGTGCCTCATTTCACTGCCTTTAGTGAAGGAGGAGAGGGAGGCCCAGAGCGCGGCTTCTCCTCCATGGGGTCTGAGCCACAATAGCGGGGCACTTACTCTGATGTGCTGATGAGATTCTGTCTTATCTCCTGCAAGCCATTTGTGCTGTACTAGGATTCAACAGTACAGTTTGGAACCTTAACTGCCCACACCATGAGAGCCAGTCATGCAAAACCCATAGGAAATCTCAGGGCAGAAGTAGTTTGCCATAAGTGTCCCATTTCCTGATTTTTTGTTGTGGTGACTGGGTCTTGCCCTGTCACCGAGGCTGGAGTGCATTGGTGCAATCGTGTGCACTGCAGCCTCAACCTCCCAGGCTCAAGTCATCTTCCCACCTCAGCCTCCAAAACAGCTGGCATTACAGGTGGGCACCTCCTGTATAATTAAAAAAAAAAATGTTTGGAGGTTACAGGGATCTATGATAGCACCACTACATTCCAGTCTAGACAACAGAGCAAGACACTATCTCTTAAAAAAAGAAAAAAAAGGGAGGCCGAGGCGGGTGGATCACGAGGTCAAGAAGTCGAGACCATCCTGG